ATAATAAATGCTACAATTCTGATATTTCATCTGGAAATAGCCATTTGAATTCAAAGTCCTCCAAACCACAGGGACACATGGCAATAATACAGGATTTTGGACTGCTGTTTTTAAAAAACAGCTTTGGCTGCTTTGGCTAACTTATTTTCCTTCATTCTTATATATCTGAGAAATGTAATTTAAACAAATGTTGGGAGAATATTTAAACATAGAATGCATTTCCACAAAAAAAGTTACAACATATAGTAAGACATAGAGTAGCCTGTAACTTACTACATACTGTAACATTTTTTGCTAAAATATGACTAAAACAATTCTTATAATGAAAATTCTAGAGAAATACATTTGTAACAGTAAAAATGAACCCTTCTAAATGTTTCAATCTTTCCTGAAAGTCTAAAAAGATTCCCTGTTTTAATGGGAATTTCTGGGCATAGCAGATAGCTGAAAGATCACATTTCACAAATTTTCATGTAGCTAAGTGAAGTTATGTGATATACTTCTGAACAATGGGATATGAGCAAAAGTAATGGATACAACTGTAAGGGGATAGCCTTAAAGAAAAAACGTATGGTCTTTCCTTTTAACTTGGTCTGTTTGCCTTACGGGTGAGTGTAACAGTGAAGCTAGAGTAGCCATCTTAGACCATGAGATTAAAAACTACCTGTTAACATGGATAAAGCCACATGATTAAAGAAGTTTGAGGGCCCAAGATCATAAGGCCATCACCTTAACCTGGGACTGCCTACTTGGATTTTTACAAAGGTGAAAAATCTCCCTGTGTTTAAGTTGTCTAATTTTCAGACAAAATAATCTCAAGTCAATACCTGATTGATGGTGGGAGCAGGAGAGATAAAGGAAAATACAAATGGACTTTACTATAATTCTAATAGAGACCTGATCTATAGCCAATTCTTAAGTGTATGTGTTTGTGTGCTCATGTTTATGTTTAATTTCTTTCAAACTTCATAGCCTTTCGCCAACAGAGCTATTTTTAGGAATATAAAACTTTAATATGTTACATGACCTCAAATGAATCTAAGAGATCACTTTAGAGCCTTGTAGATAAGAAAACAGAGGTAAGAACAAGCTAAAGGCAGAGTTTAAGGTTATTCTTATTAAAGATAATTCAGTCTTTTTCAGTGGCTCACAATGATTTTTTTTTCCTTAAGAAACAGCAAGTTATAAAAGAAAAAAGGGAAAATGAAGACTATTGAGATATAGTTAGCATGGCAAGTATAAACTGCAAAATTAGTATGAACTGTGAAAGGCAAAAGGAAAACAGTGACACAAAGTAAATGAATACTATCTTGAGTGGGTAACACTACTTATAGTAAAGAGAAAATGAGTTCCAAGTCCTGACACTATAGTATGGTACCATCCAAAACAATCTACTACCAAAGAGTCCTGGTAAGATGGGACAGGAAGGGTTCCAGAGATTTGACTGGGAAAATAAGTTAATGTGTAGCTGGCCATTCAACATTTATTTCAATGGGAATCAAGATAAAATAAAAACACCTGTTGTCTACAAAGAAAATTCATTTAGAGCATAAATTAATTTTTGAGTTTTATGAACTCAAAAGCAATTAATGAAAATTATGGACTCATTCCTCAAAAAATTGTATATAAACATGGACCTCCCTGGTGGCTCAGGGGTTAAAGTCTCAGCCCTAACAAGCTATATCCAGGCACTGCAGCATGAGTTTGATACCCAGCCAGGGAGCTAACCCACATGGCACAGCAGACCTCTCCTGTCTAGCCCACTGCTCCCCTCAGCAGTGTATTTCAGTAAATCTGCCTGTTCTGTTCCCCACTCTGTCTCTGGTGAATCTTCTCATCCCCCACATCTCTGGCCTAAACCCTAGTTCTTTCATACATAAATAAATTTTAAAAACCTTTGAAAAAAAGTATATAAACATTATACAATTAAAATATTTCACTAGTTTGGAAATTCACAATTCTTGGACTCTGATAAAACACACGATGTTTCTCCCCAAATCAGGTCTTACTGAATTCAAAAAGTAGTATAGTTGTTTCCTTTAAAAAATAGAAAATTTCGTGTAAATGCAAATTTTAAGTAAGTCATGTATAATGTGAATATTCAAAATGTTTAAATTATGCAGTAATGTCCAACACAGAATGAGGCACATAAGACTTTATGAAATTAAGGACAACAAATGCCTAAAAGCCTTGAGTCTTAGAATCTAGTAGCACATGTACTTAGAACTCATGGAATATACTTTGCTGTGGAGCAGTAGCCTCATGTCAACAACCAACAAAATTTATCACAATACTTTTAGTTGAATCTGTATTAATTATTTTCTTCTAAAAGTAGGTGGTTATTTTTGGTAACAACCAGACCATCTCTGTCATCAAGAAACTCCTTTTCAATTTTCAGGTCATTGAAAACATAATTAGCCTTAAAAAAAAAGTTATGCCATGTTTCCAATTTTCTTTATTTTCTTGCCAGCAGATGAATTTACAAGATACTGTCACTCTGAAATTCAGTTTGCAGAAGCACATCCTGAAACACTGGCAGATTCCTGTAGCAGTCTAGTCAAATGAACTTGTGATTTTCAGTTGCATCTGCTTCATTTCAGGCTGAATGCAATACCTTAAGTTGTGAGTTCTATATCATTCAAATAACCAAAAACCTATCACTAAGTCATGAATAAATTCCTCTTTGTCAAACTGTTACAAGAGTAGCCTGTCTTCTTGTTATAAGCAAATAAATACATGAATAAATAAGTAGGCGGCCATTTAAATTGACAGGGAATGCTTTCAGACATACCCTTTACAAAACCAACATACTTCAGCATTATTGGGGACCTTTTATTCTATAAACATTTCTTGAGAAAATCTGTTAAAAAGATAGTGGCTCAAGATTTTTCCCCTGACAAAGTTGATTAGTTTCAGGGTAGTAGTAAAATATCTTTTGAGATTATTTTCACAGTTTTTGATGCTGACACACACCAAACCAATTGTAAGACACAAGGGTCATGAAGGCCTGAAGCTCTCTTTTCAAAGAAGCAGCAAAACCAGATGCACTGTCTGACATGGTAAGTAGTCCATCTATGCTGAAGGTACCAAAGCCCACTTTCACAATGTCGAAGATATCAAATGCCTTTTAGGTTCCCAAAATGTACCAAACAAACTTTAAATTTATTGTGAATCAGTATACACAAAGCAGACAGATATCAGAAATTGGCTTCGTGGAACGTTAGTCCCTAATTAAAAATGTTTATTGAATAGGTAATGACAGGTTGACAATAATCTGCTTCAAAATGTTAGGAGGCACAATCAGCAGTCATGTGTATATAACATCATTTGATTGTACTTGGGTCACAGAAAAGAGTATTTGCAATAAATAACAAAATTTCAGTAGCCAGTTCAAACTTTCCTATTTAACCTATTTTAATTTACAATTTTTCAGATGTCAGCATATTAAAATTTTAGTAAATTGGCAGCTAAAAAGAAAATGTATCTTCTAAACAGAAATAATTGCTGAATGGTCCTCCCCTGGTGGCGCAGTGGTTGAGCGCTGGGCTGCGAAGCTGCCCGCAGCCTCTACAGCGCTGGTTTGATCCCTCGCCACCAGCGAGGGTCCCACATGACACAACAGACCTCTCCAGCCGTGCCTGCTGCTCCCCTCAGCAGTGTATTTTATCAGTCTGCCTGTTCTGTTCCCTGCTCTGGCTCTGGTGAATTCTCTCATCCTCCTGTGCTTTTGACTGTACCCAGTGCTTATATAAATAAATAAATAAATCTTTTAAACAAACAAAGAAATAATTGCTGAATCCAGTTTGTCTGCATTATTCTTCGGATAACATACAATTGAAAATAATGACTTCACTTTTTGCTTTAAAAGTTTTTCTAATTGGTGAAATAACTAATGATTCTGAATTAAAGAAATTTTATTTTTTTAATTTAATTTTATATTTTTTTTACATCATTCTTCATTTTTGGACAATGTATGCTTTCTCATCGTGGATATAGTCTCTAAAATTCCCACCACAAATTCACCCCTGTACCATCACCATAGTCCCTTGGGCCTTTCCCACCCCAGTTTTGATCCTACTCCCTTAAAGAATTTTTAAATTCAATTTAGTTTTCAGCACAAATATAGTAAAAATTTCCTTCCCTTTTACTATATAGAGTTTGTAACTGGTAATAAACCACTTACACAAAACAAATAGTTCAGTCACTAAATATCCCATAAACTTAGGTAAAATATACAAATACTATTTCACTTTTGATAAATAACTGTCTACCTTGATCTGAACTGATGTAGGAACTGAGGAAGAGGAAGAGCAGACATTCACATCTGTAAAGCACGCAAGCTTTGGAAAGTCTGGGTTCTAAGTTACTTCTTTCAATCAATTTCAATATAATAAAGTGCCTTAATTCCTAATTATATGTCTTACTACACTTGATCTGAACTGATGTAGGAACTGAGGAAGAAGAAGAGCAGACATTCACATCTGTAAAGCATGCAAGCTTTGGAAAGTCTGGGTTCTAAGTTACTTCTTTCAATCAATTTCAATATAATAAAGTGCCTTAATTCCTAACTGTATGTCTTACTACACTTACCAATATCATTTTTTTTAAATTTCTAATACATTCCAATAAGGAAGAAAATGTTATCATTATTAAATATTTAAAGGTAAATAGATAATTTTATTTCTTTATGTATTTCTCCGAACTTATTTCAATAACTTGACCTTACTTTTTTAGAATGGCTCAGCATATAATTATCCCTATAATGCTAATTTTTAAAGCACTAAAATCTAAATAAATTTTCCAAATAAAATTTCTCATGATTCATTAATATTACATTTAATGACTGTAACTTCAAAGCATTCTTCCAACTTTGAAACCAAGTACTTTCAAACTTTTATTTCTAGGTATTCTGGGAATAAAAGGTTAGTTACTTAAATAATTCCTCATCAAGTGCTGTGACAGTTTACCACATTTATAACAAAATGGAAGGTTTTACTTACTGAAACATCCTTCAGGTTTTTCTCAAAGGAGAAGTGACAAGACTCCTTAGAAAAATTAAACTTGTATTTGTCGGCTGGGCCTGCACCTGACACCAATGCTTTTCTCAGTTCATCAACATATTTCTCTTTTTCCATTGCCATGTCATCAGCTTCTTGGGAAATCTCTGATTCAACAACTATAGAAAACATAAAAGTTTTGAAATGAAAAATGAATTTCTAAACATGAGAACATATTTACCTGCTGGTACTAATTTATCACATATATTATAGCAATTAAAAAAATAAAATAAAAAAAAATAAAATCAACTCACACACCACACATTTTCAAGTCAAATCAGAAGTTTTAACTGAGTTAATTTTTCAGAAATTCTTTATTTAGTCTCAATTACCACTTGAAAAGCATTAGACCTCTTGCATTCTTTCTCTATTCTCAGATGTAAATGACCAAAGAAACTACCAGTTTGTGTACCCTCTCGTGGTCATAGCCAGATAAATTATTTCCTATAATGATTAATAAGCTCAGTATTTTACAATATCTGCCCTCTTTGTCTCAACTATTAAAGAAGTTAAATAGTCTATAAGCTATTTTTCACTCACAAGGATGGAGTCAAATTAAAGTAAAAGTAGAGGGGCCTCCCTTGTGGTGCAAGGAGTTAAGTCACAAAATATGAAGCTATCCCCAGTCACTGCAGCAAGAGTTGGATCACTGGCCAGGGAGGTGACCCACATGGTGCAGCAGACCTCTCCTGTCTCACCTGCTGCTCCCCTCAGCAGTGTATTTCAATAGATTTGCCTGTTCTGCTCCCCATTCTGTCTCTGGTGAATCCTCTCACCTCCCACACCTCTCGCCTGTACCCCAGTTCCTGTATGCATAAATAAATAAATCCTTTTAAAAAAAAGTGGAGTTTACTTTCATCTTATGATGTGCCAACAGAAAAAAATAGTAGATGAAGGAAGGGGGATGATAAAGAAGGAAAGGAAAGGGAACTAATATATATGAAGTGTGACCTCTATGGCATACACTACATTACAGATATGGCTTTCAATTCTCTTATCTAAATTTTTTAAGCTGATGTTTTACTCATACATATTTCTATATGAAGAATCACATTTTTAATTCTTTCTCTTTCTTTTCCATAGTATTCTGCTCTTACAACACCCTTCTTTTAAATAAGTGAAATCTTTAACCATATTTAAGTTCTTTCTGTTGGTCTTTAAAACATGGTTCCTGGGAGTATTAATTCTGTTACTTTTATCTGGTTACATAGTCTCATTAGGCTGTTTCCTTTCGTGCATTGTAATGTTTGAACATGGCTCTCCTCTAGTCAGAGTACCAAGTGCTCTGTAGAGTAGAGAGGGTATTAAATGAAAGTTACAGGCTTGGATTGCCTAAAATACTGAAAGAAAATTTAACTTGCTTTTGACAGTTGAAAAAAAATTAAAATTTAAACCTCCCACCCCAGCCCATATGTAACTTTCAGGTTTTGATTTTTGTTAAGATTTTCATTCACTCATAGTCCTTAGTGACTGTTCAGATTCTATTCTACATTTCCAAGTCAGAGAGTAGATTTTTGTGGGGTTTTTTGAGATGATTTCATTAACAAGACTTCCAGGTTCCTTTGTTTAAATTGAGAACTCAGCCACAGCCTCTCAGAGGCGTGGAGTCTCAATATTCCACCCCATTCAAGTATTACTATCACTGGCATTTAGACATAGATCTAGTTCAGATTATTCCATGAGCCTATAATTAACCTTCAGTTCACAATAACCATATTGATTTTCAGATATCTCTACATAATGACAGCTGAGGCTTTCCCTTTCTTATATTCAAAAGCGGCAGTCTTTTTGTTTTTAAATTACAAAGATTTAAAGGAACATTTGTTTAGAATGTGAATGGTTAGATCATGTTCAGTGTTAACTCACGCTACCAGAATGATGAGAAACTCATATGGTTCTATATTTTTGGCTATCAAGGTTATATTTATCTATTTTTGCCCTGATAACATTGAAATATTGAAATTAATTTCACTTGACAATTGATAAAATTGAAGTTCAGAGGGTCAAGTAATCTCTAGGGTTATGGAATAAATAAGTGGTGAAGCTAGGATTCATACTTATGTCTCCCAGTTGTTTTGTTGTGAAGTGAGGCAGAGTTATGTGACACAGGATAAATTATTTCCTTCCATGATTATAAAAAAAACACATTAATATGAAACATTACAGAATTAAAGAATCCCTAAAATTGGGCCTCTCTGGTGACTCAATGGGTTAAGACGCAACACTATGAAGCTGTCTGCAACCACTGCAACAGGAGTTATATTCCCAGCCAGGGACGTGACCCACATGGCGCAGCAGACCTCTCATGACTCGCCTGCTGCTCCCCTCAGGAGTGTATTTCAGTAGATCTGCCTTTTCTACTCCCTACTCTGTCTCTGGTGAAACCTCTCACCCTCCACACCTCTAGCCTGTGCCCCAGTTCTTGTATGCATAAATAAATAAATCTTTAAAAAAAAAATCCCTAAAATTATAATGTAACTTTTCAAACTTTGATCTTTGTGCTATCAAGTGTCTGAAAACCCCATGACAATGAAGAATCTTGGAATGTATCCCTTTATTATTGTTCATGATAAATTTTTGATAATAAGTTGTGATAGTAAAATATGAATCTCCACACAGCCTTTCCAATGCAGTAGCAATAAAATTATCTTATAATCTGTGATTTTACAGCTTCAAACATATTTTACCACATTTTTTCTCTCATTGAAGCAGATACATATTTAAGATGATCATCCCTATCAAGGTTACTTAATTTCTGAAATGTTCTATTGGCTTTTCTGAAAAAACAGGAAAATAAGGCAAATGCTTCCTACTTAAGGAATTATCTCATGTTATATGTTTGAATAATTTTATGTGTTTGAAGTTATAAATATCCAAGGAAAGTAATTATTGCACAGAGAAATAAGAAATAAATCTGTAGAAACCATCTTTAAGGCAACCACAGAAAAACTTTAAAGAAAACACAAAAAGCATGTTTGTTAATGAAACATCCTGAAAACTATTATGAATTTCATTAAAAGAAAAGAAACATGTCTCAAAACATTTTATAGAATTTATTGATTCAATTCATTAATTTTTTTTTTTTTTAAAGATGTATTTATTTATTTATTCGTTCATTTATTTGTTTGTTTATTTATTTATACAAGCACTGGGTACAGTCAGAAGCGCGGGAGGGTGAGAGAATTCACCAGAGCCAGAGCGGGGAGCAGAGCAGGCAGAAGGACCGAAGTACACCGCTGAGGGGAGCAGCGGGCGGCAGGAGAGGTCTGCGCGCCATGTGGGACCCTCCTCCGGTGGCCGGGGAACAGCCGGGGATCGAACCGGCGCTGCAGAGGCTGCGGGCAGCTTCGCAACCCAGCGCTCAACCGCTGCGCCACCGGGGAGGCCCCCAATTCATTAATTTTAAACCGTGCTTAAGGATCATCTAATACATGCTAGGCACTAACCAAGGCCCAGGGATCTTCAGTTAAACAGAGAGACAAAAATGCTAGCTTACAGAGCCTGATTTAAGAATGACATCTTAAATATCCTCTTACATAACATAGTAGATAGCATGTTCTGTTACTCTATCTGTGAATGTTATGTTGATTATTATTATGGAATATTTCATTTTTGATAGGAAAATATAAAGGGAAATTATCTTTCTATAGTTCCTCTTTAAAAACTATATTTAAAGAAAAGTCCAACTTTTTTTTTAAAAGATTTATTTATTTATTTATACAAGCACTGGGTACAGTCAGAAACGCGGAAGGGTGAGAGAGAATTCACCAGAGACAGAGCATGGAGCAGAACAGGCAGACTAATGAAGTACACTGCTGAGGGGAACAGCGGGCACAGCAGGAGAGGTCTGCATGCCATGTGAGACCCTCGCCAGTGGCCAGGGATCCAACCAGTGCTGCAGAGGCTGTGAGCAGCTTCTCAGCCCAACGCTTAACCGCTGCACCACCAGGAAGGCCCAAAGTCCAATATTTTTTAATTTATTTAAATATTTCCTAGACAGAAAATGTGAAATTTTGTCGTCCTATTTAGAATATTAATCTTGGAAAAACAACTTGGTCACCAGTTTTTAATTTTATGCTAAGATCACCTGAAAGAAGCAAGACTGTGAGCATTTGATGCTCCAAAAAGTTCAGTGACCAGGAATAAAAGCCATGGAATGATAAAATTTAGCAAGGATACAGCAGAAATGTGTAAGAGAGAAAGAGAGAGAAAAATAGTGAGCAGGCCAACATGTACAAAAACCAAGGAATTGTTCTCTGACAGGCAGGACCCAAGGAAAGCATCACAATTACATGATTTACAGGCAGATAAAAACATAAGTAAGGAAATTCTTTCCTTCGGATTCTTACATACTATGAGCCAAAGACTTTGTATAGCCAAAGACTTTGTATAAGTTTGGGGCTGAGCTCAGAATACAATCTTGTTATCTCATTAGGAATCATGATGATATCATGGACCCATTTTTTTATTTATTAAAGATCCTTTTCCACTTAATTCCATGATATAATCTCCACATAGGTCACCAAGTATCAATGTTTAGGACAAATACAAAGTGGCTATAATTAGTTGACAATAAACATAATAAAATGTACTCTTCCAGGAACTTTGAACTACTCCCGAGGTGGGTGATAAAAGTTTCTTACTGCCGACTGCAATTCTTAAAGAAGTCTCATAATAGTTATGGATCATTAACTCACTTTGTGACTTAACCCTGTGATATATATAATCCTCTATAACACTGAAGTGATGACAGACCACATGATAATTAGACTCCAAAACATTCATTAGATAGAGCATTGCTAAAGGAAAAGAAATCAGTGAGTTTTATGTGTGGGAGATTAAAAAGCACCCCACATCCTTTTAATTTCACTCAAATGAAAAGAAAAAAAATTATCCAAATTGAAGGCTACAGCAATCAAAATGTTATACCAAAAACAGGATGAGGTATAGGAAGGAAATTTATTTTCATGTTACAATTATTTAATTGTTTCAATGTTTTAATCACAGTATTGTCTATTTATAAAGTGACAAACCAAATTATATTTATGTAAAAAGCCTCAACTAAACAAGGAAACATGTTATATTATTTGGTTTCATATTTTATCCCTAAAGATTCAACAAGAAAATAGCAATGGATAATGAAATATATATAACTTATGAGAGATTTAAAACTTTGCATCTTTGAAAAGAAAATAAAAATACACAGCCCACTGGAAAATTTCTTTGAAAGCTTTCTCAGTATAGGAAGCTAAAATGTTAACTATCCACCAAAGGGGAAAAAAGTTTAAAATCACATTGCTAAGAGTAAGTTCATTACCTACAAAACAAATTGTGGAACATAATGCTTTTATGATCAAAGCCAACAATAAATAAATATGAAACTGGAGTTTTCATTAAAACTACACCAACCCTGAAATGGTTCACGTTCCTTTGTTCCTAACTAGTTTTATATATTTGAGGCATCCTTTTATTCTTTCTTTCAAAGAATATCCATTAAGCACGTATGTTCTAGGTACTAATCCAGATATAATTCAGAGTAGTTGACAAAATATCTTCTTTGTTTTCAATAGATCTAGTCTGATGAAAAAACATTCATATCAATATATTAAGAACAACTATAGCCTCATTTTGTATGACATAAACAAAATGTTCCATAAACATAAAATCAACTTTCTAGTTAATTTAATATTTAGGAGTTAATCAAAGTACTCTTGTTCCTGATCCTTTATGATAAAAAAATTTATATATGTAATTATTGTTCTTTGCCTTGGTGAATGAGGTTTACTGACTATATTAGGTTTAATTTTTTCTTTAACAATTAAAATACCTCAAGGTCATCTGTTTGACCATAACTTCATTATATAGAGTAAGTCATTTGTCAATTAGAAAGACTTAAATTATAAATACAGTATTCCTAACACACAAGCAGCCACTTCACCCAGCACCTGCGTCCTGGGCTGTGCGATTAGAACTGCTCCTCTCTTTCAGATGATTGGCATGTGTATGGTATATGTAGCCCCTTCACCCTAAAATAGAGATGCTATTACCTAAGTATACTTTCAGCGACTAACATAGAGCTAACCTGACAAATTTTCCATCATTCCTACATTGCAACAACCAACCAACAATTCATTTCTCTTCATAGAAATGTATAGTTTAAATAGATACCGTGACAGGTAATGCAAACATTATCCTTGAAATTTCTTTATTTTACAATAATCTATATATCAGCATGCCCTAATCTTTATCATAAACCACAAATAAAAAAAGTATATGCAAGTATATTCAGTTTGACTATACTATATAACTGATTTTATAACATTCAAGAAACATTCTAAATTTTACAATGTATTATATTAAAAGATAATATAATGATTATAAAAAATTATAGAGAAATATTTCAAAAGTTGAGTTAGATTCAAATAGTATATAAATGACAAAATTAATTTACTTGAAATATCACTCATAACTCTAGAATGACCACTATATAGCTATCAAAATAGTTTTAAAAAATCTTTTAATAACATATTTCAGAAAAGCTTTTCTAGATGAGTAGAACATAATTCAAGATTATTTACTTTATACCTGTCATGTTCCATAAATGATTTCAGGGTTATTAGTCTTTGTAATTTTTTTTAAAGAATTATTCCTTTATTATAAGATTGTTATTTATTTTGCATAGAAGAACTGGGGTGCAGGCCAGAGGTGCAGGGAGTGAGAGGATTCACCAGAGAAAGAGTAGGAAGCAGAACAGGTGGGCCTACTGAAATACACTGCTGAAGGGAGCAGCACATGAGAGACAGGAGAGGTCTGCTGTGCCATATGGGTTAGCTCCCTGGCCTGGGATCAAACACAAGTGTTGGGGTGAGCCATCACAGTGGTAGCACTGATACTTAACCCCTAGGCCAACAGGGAGGGCCTGGTTAGTAGTCTTTGTAAAAGATGTCACCAAAGATTAAAAAAATCAAAATTCTATTCCAGAAATTAACAGCCAAAATTGCCCATATGGGTTTGAATCCTGTTAACAAAGTTTTAGATTATGAGTTCTGTTTCATTTTGTTACAAATTTAGTACATGGTCATTGGAAAATAATTCAAACAATGTAAGTCTATGAAGTAAAAGAAAAGCATCACTCAAGCCAACATAAACCCTTGGCACAGTCAAACCACCTTCCTGTGCCTCCTAATATGCCCCTGGAGCCCTATGAAAAGATACATGTAAAAAGTATGATTTATGTTTTGTATAAAGAGATCATTTTAAAACTCTGATCAAGTCCATGTTTTAGTACTTTGACTTACAAATGGAAACCAGAGTTTGTTGAGGCACATGTCTCTCTATCCTGATATTAATTATTAATCATAGGGAAAAAACACTAAATATTAGCGATCTAAATATAGTTAAACAGCAATAACAAGAAAAAGCTGTATTTTAAATTTTCTCAGTTATCTTTTAAAGAAACAATTTAGTGGCTATATCATTGAAGACTAAAGCATAGCACATTTTCAAAATTTTACTTTTAAGAAATTTGATTTTAATATTACCTGTCCCAGTCCATACTGACTGACCATCAGTGAGTGTAATAACAAAACCAGATCCTAGATTTTTCTCCCAAGTGACTTGTAGAAAATGAATTATATCAGGTTCAGAAGCAAGACAGATCCTGCTTACTTTTTTCTCCATTTCTGGTGACCTGTTATAGAAGAATAAAATAAATATTTTTGTAAGAAATTGTAACAATCACTATCAAATAGTGATGTTTTATGTACTGATCTTTCAACTGCACAAAGCACCAAGAGACTTAGGTAATAAATAAAACAAAACACATATAATAGTAATAGTTAACCAACCACCAAAGTCAGTAAATCAGTTCTGTTCAATATTGATTCACAATTTTAGAGACGATGAAAGCACATTTTTTATAAGGTCATAGAGTAGTTATAACTTTTATATACCAAGTGTAAATTGGTGCAAGCATTTTAGAAAACTTTTGGCTGCATAGTATTAAAACTGAACACATGAATATCCTCTGATTCAGCAGTTTCACTGATAGGTATATACTGAACAGAAATGCATGGCTATTTGTGATAGTTATACCTGGAAAAAATTCAAAATGCCTATCACTAGTAGACTGGATATATAAATTATATACATATAATATACATGTATATACAGACTATATCCATTTAATGGAAAACTATACAGCCATGAGAATGATAAATGGCAAATGATTTGCCCAATTTATAAGCTGAATAAATATTACTAACTCCACCAATATGAAGAGTTTATTTTCTCCAAGAGTCAATAATCTCTTTCTCTACAACAAAACAAATGATCACAAGAATTAGTATGAGTGATCTCAGGACTAGAATTTGATTCTAATTAGAGAGGATAAGTTTGATCAAGTGTCTTCATCTCTGTCAGGAAAAAGATGGTGTGAAGTGAAAATGGAGAATAAGCACAAAGCATAGGGACACAAAATCTCAGAACCCAAAAGCTGGTTATGCCGTCTCCAAGAAAGGGGTTCCCAGGCTCAGTGACTCACACTCTGTACCCAGTTTGACAGGAGCACCCTGTAACTGAGATGGGTATCCCAGCCTAAGGACAATTTTTTTTTTTTGCATTTTTAAAACTTTGCACTTACTTATTACATACAGGGTAAAGTAAATATATCAAAAATATAATTTGGTAAATTTTATAATTTAACAAATTAAACTGTGTAGATCTAGAAGCAGGACATTAGCAACTCAGAACTTATTCTCCCACTTCCTCCCTTCCAGTCACTATATCCCCAAAGATTCTACCAAAGATTCACATATTGATAGATTTTATACTTTTTTGTAAATGTAACTATACAGTGTTTTATTTTTTGTTCATTTTTTAAACTCCACATTATGCTTATGAAATACATCCACATTGCTTCTTAGACTTGGAAATCATTCTCATAGCTGTAGAGTTTTCCATTAAATGGATATAGTCTGTATATACATATATATTATATGTATATAATTTATATATCCACTCTACTAGTGATAGGCATTTTGAGTATTTTCCAGGTTTAACTATCACAAATGCCCATACATTTCTGTTCAGTATATACCGATCAGTGGAACTGCTGCGTCAGAGGACATGCATGTATTCAGTTTTAATACCATACAGACAAAAGTTTTCTAAAATGCTTACACCAATTCACACTTGGTATATAAGAGTTATAACTACTCTAAGACCATATAAACATTTCTCATCTTTTTTAAGTTTTAGCCTTCTTAGTGGGTATTATATATATATTTGTGAGTTCAACATAATTTTTCTAATGTATCATTACATTGAATCCTTTCCACATATCTACTGGACATTTAAATATCCTGTTGTGGACTGTTCAATTTCACTACTGTTTTTATTCAGTGTTTTATTCTTACTTATTTGCTCTTTATTTCTTTTTGATTTGTTTTTTTATTTTCAATATGAATCCTTTAACAGGTAAACATATTATGAATAATTTTTTCCAGTCTAATACATTTTTACTCTAATAATAGTTTTGGATGAAAAGAAATTCTTAATTTCAATAGGATTGCATTTTATCGACCTTTTTATTTGATGGTTAGTACTTTTTGCACCCTACTTAAGAACTCTTTGGTCACTAAGATGTTTTCCTGTTTTTATCTAAAGATTTTATAATTATATCTCATACATTTAGATTGGCAATCCATCTGGAATTTATTATTGTGCATTGTGGCAGGTAAATGCCAAGGTGTATTTACCCATGTGGATATCTAACTGACTTAGTACTACTAATTAAAGACTATCCTTTCTCAAACTGCACTGCTGTGTAAGCTTCATCATAAATCATGTGACTAAATATCTATAAAAGGTTCAACTTTTTTTTGACATAGATACAATTTCATATTCTATATTGTCTTTTTAAGGTTACCTTGAATAGTGATTGCTACTGTGATCCAACATACTTATTATCTGTCACCTGCATCATTTAAAAAATATGATTAACCTCTAAGCAGTCAAATCATTCATGTAAAATGTTGAGTAACACAAGCTCAAATATAGATCCCTGTGAGTTGCCATTAAAACAAGTCTCATAGACATCAACTGTTAAACTACGTAAGTATACTGCTGCTATCTCCATTTAAGTCACAAGGATATCAGGAAAGTCCTTGGCAAAACCTACTTATTTTTCCAACTTAGCAATGTTATTTGAAAAAAAAAATAAAAAGGACAATTAAGCTTTTTCTTACTGATCTTACTCTCATTTCTAATGATCAGAAACAGAACTCTATGAATTTAAAAGTCATTCTTCTGGTAATTTATTCTAGAATCTCATACAGAATGATCTCCAACTAACTAGAGTGTCTTATGACACATACAATTTAGTTCAAAACAAACAACTATATTTATTTCTAATACAGAAATATCCTCTGACCACAGACACTTTAATAAGAGACACTTAAACTGTAGAAGCTAACAAAAGTAAAGATCAACCCTAAAATTAACAAATATACAAAGAATAAACATTGTAAGAAAATTAAAACAGAAAGCAAAGCACAAACTTCAAAGATGAAAAACCAGAGAAAATTATTCTCTAATCACAGAATTAATCTTACTACATGAACCTTAAAAAGTTCAAAAAAATTCATTAATATTTTCTTTGGAGGAAGGGTGTAAAATTCTTCAAATATTTATGATCAATAAACATGCTATAAAAATCCAAAACAAAATTTTAATTATCATTAATTTACAAATTGGTTAATAATTATTTAACAAGGAGTAACATTTAAATCCAGATTTTTAATTTGGTCTCTCAATTTAAAATTATTATGTTCTCATAAATCAAGTATATTTATGTCAATAACTGAAAATAAAAGCAACATGTAACCTAACATTTTTACACAAAACAAGGCTAACTTACTTATAGATCTTTACCTCCTGTGGGTTGGGAGGGATGCTTAATTATAGAATGTCATTGCTATGCCATTATAAAATAAGGTAGCAGAGAAAATGTCCAGAATGTATGAAAAAAAGTCTAAAATTAGGAGTATAAGAGCCTAGCAAATGATAAATTAACAATAATTCTAATTTCCATGTTGTTTACTCAGAAAACTATTCTTCCCAGTAAATACAAAGTTATAAAACAAACAGAGCCACATTAATTAGGCATATTAATATCTTTCAAATATGTAAATTTGTATATTTGACTTCCTCATAATCACTGTAAAAAAATTAATTTTATTTAATTTTGTCAAAATTTTTCCCAATAGTGAGGTCCAGTTTGCCTAGATGTGCTTAGCACTGAAATGCTTTATCCGCTGTGAATATTTTCTTTCAGATCAGTTAATATAATTAACATGTAGTCAATTAATTGCATGCTTTGTAATCCTTAAATTTGAAAGTCACTGTACAATGTGTTACTATTTGCCTGTGCATCATAAAAAAGGCACAGAGAGGTTTTCATAATTTTAATACACTCAAAACCCACAATTTTGTGAAGAATCAAGTAATAGAAATAATTTATGAAGGCCATTATTTGCCTCTACAGAATTTATATACAAACACATAGAAACACATGTACATCCAGAGGTTATTTCTTTTTAAGTGTGCCTCAAGAATTATGGCAATGGACATCAGTATAACTTTGTGAAAGGAAATGGCAGCATTTACAATAATGTTAAAACAGCAACTAGTTTCAGGGCTATTTTTACCATATTTGAAACAACCAACAAATTTCTAATTATAGAGACAAATTATTTTTAAATTCACTGTTCCATATGCATGTCAGTAACTCATCCTACTTACATAATAATACAAAAGGCCTTAATATTAAGAAGACATGTAAGGATCAGATTAGTTTTAATATCTTTGAATATTCATGTTTAAACATTTCCCAATTTTCTGATTAACTTTAGGTATTTATCACAAAAAGTAAATGGTTTTATCTAAATGGTTCTATTATATTCAGAAGCCCAAGATTTGTAAGTTTGGATACTACCTGTGAGACATGTTTAAGCAATTAACATAAATACTAGTCAAATATGACAAATCACTATCCTCTAAGTATTTTGTGCCTCAGTAGCCTCGGAAATGTTTTGTTTTCATCTCAACTGAGCCTTAATTTCCTAATAAGTAACCATTTGAACCAGTTTAGAAAGTACTTAATTCTTTTACATACTGAGGTTACTCTATTAAATATCAAATACAAAATATCTAAGGATGAACCACAGAAACAGGAAAAAAAAAAAAAGGATGACTTGGAATGTCTTTCAAGAGTTAGGAAAATGAATCAAGGATCTCTTTGCATAGCGCTTCTTTGCATAGCGCTTTTTTTTTTTTTGCCCCTAGAGGGCTTGAAGGAAGAAGGGGTGGAACCCCCTTAAGAGGGACTGATTGATTAGGGCCATAAGGAAGCCTGTGTTTTGTTTTCTAAGGGCACTAAAGGTCACAGTAGTATCAGCACCTCTCCCAGCCAGAGCCAAGGAGCTAACACAAGCCTGCAGGTGGAAACAGTTGGGTCCCACCCCATTTGTACATGAGTAGCTTTATTGAGAACCCAGAACAGTTGAGAATTGAGAAGCTTATCTTTAGTACTTTGTGTCTTTGATACTTGGCTTCTCTCTTAGAGAGAAATAAGTTGTTGGCTGGTATGCAATTGATGTGATCTATGCGCTGAACAAATACCATTCACAG